GTCTCCAAGGCCGGAGGTTCCGGGGACAATGTGGAGGGCCCTTCTGCTGAGCGAGAGGACCTCAGGGAGGGCGAGGGAGGATGCACCGAGAGGGCGACATGGAGGAGCAGGTCCAGGAGCTGAAGACCATCACTCGGCTCCAGGGTGAGCCACGGGCCGGCCCTCCCTGCAGTCGGGGGCCTCGGGGCAGTCAGGGCAAGTGCCGAGCAAGCTGCCCGCCTGCCCGCCCCCAGGGACTGGGAGAGGGGCAGGGGCTGGAGGGCTTCTGTGAGCTGGGTGGGCCCCAGAGCCAGAGGGGCTGGGGATGGGCCACCAGCCTGCGGGGCCAGCGGCCGGGAGCATCATAGCTGGTGCCCGTCCTGGCTTCCACATCGCCCTCCCCACTGCCCAGCACAGCTGCCCATTGACAGCGTCCAGGTGGTCCAGGCAGGCACTGCCAAGCAGCAGGGCCATGTCCACCACAGCAGCGTGGGAGGAAGGGGCACTGCCCAGAGGCAGGCGTTTGCCCCAGTTCAGGGCCCGGCCACCCGCTGACCTCCCGTCCTCCGCCTCAGAGCAATGCCGGGCGCTCCAGGTCCAGGCCATGAAGGAGAAGACCGTGAAGAACAAGGCCACGCTGGCTCTCCTGCACAGCAACATCCGCCGCGGGGCCCAAGACTGGGCCTCAGCCAGGAAGGTGCGCGGCCCCCCTGGGAGCCAGCGCCCCTGGGGGCCAGGGCTGCGGTCGGGGGGCAGACCCCCCCCACAGGGCTCAGCCCGCAGGAGCCCTGGCCAGCCCAGCACACGGGGCGGGTGTCGCTGGGGCCGCTCCCGGCCAGCCCTGCACCGCGGCCTCTCTGGCTGTGGCCTGAGGGAAGACGTGGGCCCTCCTCGTGGACCCAGGCTGGCCTGAATGGGGCCGCAGCTCAGCGGAGGCTCTAGGAGCTTATAGGAGGCTGGGGCCAGCTGCCGGCCGCTGGCACGGGGTGGAGGCTGCGAGGCCGCCCCGCGCTCAGCACCGCCGCTCCCCAGTCGGACCAGCAGACCATCGCCAAGGCCTGCGGAAAGGACCTGTCCATGAGGCTGGCGCACTGCCCACAAACCATGGAGGTGAGCGGCGGTGGGGTCCCTCGGCCCCGCCCTCACTAAAAACAACGTGTGCGGCCCGTGGGTGGGGAGCACACGCCAGGCGAGCCCCGGCTGCCGGCGGCTCCCCACCCTCCTCCGACCCGACCAGGTGGCGCGGGAGAAGCTGCGCAAGTACGTCTTCGACCGCGTCAAAGTGCACAACGTGCTGATCCACCTGGTGCGGCGGCGCGGGCAGCAGCTGGAGAGCCTGCGCCTGGAGCTGGCCCGCCTGCAGAGCCAGCCCGGCGCCACCAAGGAGGAGCGGCGGCAGCTGCAGGTGCCGGAGCCTGGCGGG